AATTTTCAAACAATCTTATTTATGAAGCATGCAACTGTACTGCTTCACCATTTGCACTGACTCTTTTTTCTTCTTCTTTTATTCAAAGATGTCCAATTCTCAGAAACTGCCTGGACAAATTTCTGTAGTTTTCTTGGCAAGGTTTTCCACAAGTGGTTTGCCATTGCGTCCTTCCTAGGGCTGAAAGAAAATGATTGGCCCAGTTACCCAGCTTGCTTTCTGCCTATGATAGGACTAGAATTCATAGTCTCCGAGTTTCTAACCTAATGCTTTTTGACCACTACACCAAAGTGGCTCCACACTGACTCCACTATATTTCTAAACCTTTCAAGGTGCTTATCTATATACAACTAAAATTCTCATTCCCAGAATCTTTAGCTAGGCGAAATCGGGCACCATAGGGCAACAATTGTTAAAACCAAGGTACCTTAACTGGGCTAACTTATAGAATGCATTTCAAATTCAGGGCTCTTGCAGAACTAAAACCTAACAAATTTTATAAATCATTTTATGACATAAAAATTATAAAACAGTTGATGACATAATACAAAATGTCTTAACATATTTCCTGTGCTAATGTTTGATTGGGCTATATACAGTTTGACACGGGCTATTTTCAAGGCAGATACATCTCTGAATGTATCGCAACTTTTCCAGTGAAGGCAATACATTAGAAATCGTATCACTGTTAAAGGCACACAAGAATCTTGTGAGCAAATACTCCTGAAAGAATGACCCAATGGGTCATGGGTCACCTAGCTATCTTCAAAAGATTCAGCAGCTTGGAGCCAGGTTTGTTAGATAACTTCTGATAATACTGCATATGCTTGATTACGTAGTTGATTTGTTATGTTCAGCTCATTATATAATTGTTCAAAAATTACATAGTAACCAACTTTTCACAGCAAATTAAGGGGTGGTATCTACATGCAAAAATAAGGATAAGGTATCGAAATAGATGTGGCCTATGTATCCAAAACAACAAATCCTGTTCAGACCCAGGATCAACATTTTTAAATGGATTTAATTTTTAAACCCAAAAATAATTTTATATAAAAATTGTTGCAATTTTGTCAACAGTAGTACTATTTAAAACACTGTAAAAACAGATAAACAGTACTGAGAGCTATACTACTAGCATCAAATGCAGTGTTAAAAGATAAGGTTATAATTCAGACAATATTTGGAAATAAGATCATTTTTTAATATTATTGGCGTTGATATTATTAAAAAGCTGGATCTGACAAAAATGTTTTCAATGTATAACTACTTCATATTACCTCAAGGCAATAATCACAAACTTTATACAAGAAAAACATGTTTTTCCTACATATTATGGGAGAAAAAATTCTACAAAATAATTTTCATCTATTAGGAAATAAAATAATTTTATAAAATCATCTTATACGTGATCTAGAAATACTAAATTCTTTATTCCCAAATATCCGTTCTACTTTTATACTAAGACAAAATCACAAACATAAAATATATGATAGTTATTAAATCCATTTATTCCCAAGAATTTACAGAATTATCTTGCAATGCGAGGTATAAGTAACTGCACATTACAAACACTGACAACTGCTTGTGTTTCTTTTCATTATGACAGAAAGTAAGGAAAAATATCAAAATAATGCATCTTATTTATAATATACTCAAAAACAAATTATATGGTCAGTTAAACATTGGGGTGCCATGGCAGGGACAAGACTTTTAGATTCCAATACATATCACAGATGCTTTTCTGTACGTACAAAAGCTATACTGGAAGAAAGCTTGATATCAAAATGCTATTCTATAAAAATCATTGGAAAACAAATCAGTTGTCTAGATTACTATGACTACAACCTTATGCTTTCAAGTAGTGGTTATTAAATTAATATTTTGGCCCTTAACTCTGTAATACTTAAAATCAATAATAGGAAGTTTTCCTTTTCAACATAAAATCTGGTAATTCCCCTTCAAACCAAAAATATACAGTGTTTCCTGGACAGTTTATAATCTTGACATTGATGCCTGCTTTCCATTGTCAATACACAGCCATCAACCCAAGTCAGAATTACTTTTGCACTTCGTTGGGAAAAGTTTGCATATATCTGTTCAATGCATATACATTCATGTTCTTTTTCATTCATATGCACTTTTATTTTCTGTAACAAGTAGTAATGCATGGCTTTCCAGATGTCAAACTTTTTGCAAGGTACCGGCTAGGGAAATTTGTTATATTTCTGAATCAAAACCATAAAACAAGATAATATGTCCAACCCAGACTGAAACCCAGCAGGATGATAAATTATGACATGTGGAAGGCCTTGTATTCAGGTATGAAAAATCAAGGGCATAGGTACAGGACTGGGGATACTTGATGATGGTAATTTGTGTGAAAATGGTCTAAGGGAAACTACCAGCTGAAAACTAGCAAGCATTGTACTAGATTATGTCCAGTTTATGGCATTCGACACTAGTCAGAGGGCACTCAGATTACAGTTTTCCTTTCTTTGCATGATAAAGCTGGAGAAAATTCAGGAGAGAGCTATCAAGGTGCTAAAGGGTCTGGAAATGAAGCTCTCCAAGGAACTAGACATGCTGAGTTGGCCAAAGAGATTAAAGGGAATCATAATGATCTACAAATACCTAAAAGGAGGTCATGTGCGAATGGGATGCGCCTGTTCTGTGTTGTGATGGAAAACACAGCAAGGGCCAATGGACTGAAATGAAGAGATGATTCTGGCTAAATGTTAGAAAGAACTACAAGGTAGCAAGAGATGTTAAGCAGAGAAACAGTCTCAGGTTCCATGGGGAGAGGATTCAACTACAGACTAAGACTCCCCTGTTGGGATTTCTGCAGTCAAGAGGAAGTACAAGTAGTCCACGACTTTTGACCCCAACTGTACCCAAAATATATGTTGCTAAGTGAGAAATTTGTTAAGTGAGCTTTGCCCAATTTTACAACTTTTCTTGCCACATTTATTATGTGAGTCACTGCAATTGTTACACGAATAAAACAACTTATGTGAATCTGGCTTCCCCATTGACATTGCTTGTCGGAAGGTCGGAAAAGTGGGAATCACACAACTCCAGAACACCACAACTGGTCACACATGTGAGTCAGTTGTCAAGCACCCAAATGTAAATCACAATGACCATGGGGACACTGCAAAAGGCCACGAGTGAGAAAATATGGTCATGAGTCACTTTTTTTAACCCCGCAGTATAACTTCGAATGTTTGCTAAATAAACTGTTGCAAGTTCATAAGGGGCATGCATAAGCACACCAATGTTCCTACCATCCCCATCTTAATGCTCTCTTTTATTCGTATCTATTTCATGTATTAATAATCAGGGATATATATATACATACATATACACACACACACACTCATATATACATACATACATATATATATATATATATATGTATATACAAGAAAACATATATACACATATACATACATATATACACACACACACATATATACATACATACATACCAAGACTCCCAACCAATCAAGGTGAAGAAAAAACCATTCTGACACAGCAATAGGCTGCCCCAAATTTAAATCTGAAACCACTGTAAAAGTCTGACTCACAGACGAACACAATACAGAAGCCTGATGATGGCAGATGAGATTCTGCCGAAACGTTGCTACAACTTTAAAAGCACAACTACAATGACGTGGAAAAATACCCGAACAAAGCTGAATGCCATGCATGCATGCATACATACATACATACATATATGGCATTCAGCTTTGTTCGGGTATTTTCCCACATCATTGTAGTTGTGCTTTTAAAGTTGTAGCAACGTTTCGGCAGAACTACAACTTTAAAAGCACAACTACAATGATGTGGGAAAATACCCGAACAAAGCCGAATGCCATACATACATACATACATACATACATACACACACACACACACACACACACACACACAAACACTATACAGAAGCCTGATGATGGCAGATGAGATTCTGCCAAAACGTTGCTACAACTTTAAAAGCACAACTATAATAATGTGGGAAAATGCCAGAACAAAGCTGAATACCATACACATAAGTACCCTGGAAAACTTAAGAAAACACACACACACACATATATGTATTATTAAATGCATGCTTGACAAAACAAATAAATAAAAATAAAAAGTCGAGGACTACCTTTACATTGTGGGATTCCTCTCAGGTATGGGTCCTGCTCTTTCCCTCCCCCAATAGTTACTTAGCATGAGAACCAGGGGCTGAATTAACCATGGCTCCACCAAGAACCAACTGCCTCCACGGCACGAAGAGTAGGAGATAGACCTGCAAGGTGTTACTCCAAGCCGAGCCCGAACTCCTCGACTAACCTGAGATTTCCCACCTGCTCGGAAGGGGCAGGAGAAGCAGCACCGGGGAAGGGGGAGCGGAGGAAGCGAAGGGCCACGGGCCCTTCAATGCTCGGCGGGGAAGAGAGCAGGGGGGAAGGGGACCCCCCACCCCGCGTCCCTTTCTCGAGGCCAGGCTAGAGGCAAGTTCGAGGCGCCGGGCCTGCCAGCACCACCCCCGAAGGGAAACGCCGGGCGGGATACAGGAGGTACTCACCGGCGTGCTGGTCCCGCGGCCACAGGTAGTAGGTGGCGGGGATAACGATGAGGGCTACGAAGCTGGTGAGGAAGTAGAAGAAAGTGTTGCCGCTGTCATCGTACTGGAACTGCTGCCCGGCCATGGCTGCCCGCACGCCCCGCCCCCCCGCTCGGCTTGCGTGCTCGCTCTTTCAAGCAGCCCCAGCGGCGGCCTCTTGCAAGGAGGATCCCGCGAGAATGAGGGAGGGAGGAGGAGCGGGAAGAGCAAGCAGCCTTCGCTGGCTGGCTCGCTCGCCCAGCCGCCCGCCCGCCCGCCCCGCCGGCCGCTCTCGGCACCAGTTCACGCTTTGCTCCCCCGCCCCGCCCCCTGCCCCGCTTCGCTCCGGCAAAGCCGACACTCCTCACAAGGAAGGCGACGTGTCACTGCGCAAGCGCCATCGCAACCATTGTGACGTCGCAGTGGCGAGGGGCGCTTCCGGGTCCTAGGCCGGCTCCGAGTGGGATTGGCTGAGCCGACGGGTCCTCTCTTCGCCCGATTGGCTGGGGGTGGGTCCGGCGGGAGAGTTCGAAAGAACGCCGAAACAGGTGTGATTGTTTTCAGGTGACATCATAATAGTGGGTGGGAGAAGGTGTGGGTTTTTTAAAAAATTAGTTTCCTTCCAAACCTGCAGCTTCGTTGTCAAGAAGAGGTTTGCCTGTTTGCGAGATTTTTTTCCCCTCTACACTAGTCCTACAACACCGGTATTTTTTGCAAATTTCTAGGTATTTTTACCACTTGCTAAGGTGAAGATGTTTTGCGATTGGATCGATTTGGATCTGTTTTAATAACACATTTGTATCTTATTGATATTGATGGGTTTTATTTAGTATCTTATGACTATCAATGAGTGTTGTCTCTTATCATTTATGATGATTTATAACTTGCTGCTTGTATGTGCAATAAGAGCTCATGCACTCGAGAAAAATTCCTTATGCGGCCAATAAAGAATTCTATTTGCTGTAATCAGTTGTGTAGGTTTCCACAATGTGTCGTTAAGAAACTACAAAGGCTGGTTTCTCACAGTAGTACCTATTAGCTGACTTCATTTTATTAGTCCACATCAATCACAACAATCCCACAGATTACTACTGTGTTTCTCCAACAATACGCCCCCACCCAATAGGAAGACCCAGCATGTTTTCTAGGCATAAAATGAAATTAAGCCCCTCCCCCCAAATTTAGGCCTAGTTTAAAACATGCGAAATTGGGGGGGAAGGCAGGGGGGGAACTTGCCATTAGGAGTGCCCTGTGGGCAGCTACGCCTCACCATTAGCCGCTCCTAAAAATCAGGGTGGAGCACGAAGGGCTCCTTTACCCCCACCAAGAGCCTTTGCTACAGACCCGGGACAGCAGGCGGATAGCATCGGCATAGATGTCCAGCAGCGTTTCAACCACTTCTCAGGCCTCTGTAGCTTCCACGGTTCCCACTGGTGCTGGCGCCTCTCTCGCAAGTGCCATCTCCAACAACAGTGTCTGAGTTGCTTCCACTTTTCCCCTGTCCCCATAACAACAGGAAAAAAAAGATTTTGAGGTACCTGGGAGCGCTGCGCACTGCGTTTTGGTTTAATCCCGAGCGGCTGGGTGGGCGTGAGAAGAGCCGAGCGAGCTCTCTGCTGCTGCTACCCTTGGTGCTCCAGCCTTGGGCTCTGCAAGTTTGCAAAAGTCCCGGTGCGCAGCCCATTCCTGCATTCCAAGTGCCTAGGCTGAGCTGCAGCTGTCCCTCACCAGCGCCATCTCCAACAAGAGCAGCAGCAGCGGGAACCGTGGAAGCGTTTCATCCACTTCTCAGATGGGGGAGCCGCCTCTGTAACTTCCACAGTTCCCACCACTGCTGCCGCTGTTATTGGAGATGGCACTGGTGAGAGAGGGACAGCTGCAGCTCGGCCTGGGCACTTGGAATGCAGGAACAGGCTGGGCACCGGGACTTTTGCAAACTTGCAGAGCCCAAGGCTGGAGCACCGAGGGTAGCAGCAGTAGAGAGCTCACTCAGCTCTTCTCACACCCACCCAGCCGCTCGGGATTAACCTAAAACACAGCACGCAGCGCTCCCAGGTACCTCAAAATGTTTTTTTTTTCCTGTTACGGGGTCAGAGGAAAAGCAGGAACGACTCAGACGCTGTTGTTGGAGACGGCGCTGGCAAGAGAGGCGCCAGCACCAGTGGGAACCGTGAAAGCTACAGAGGCCTGAGAAGCGGCTGAAACGCTGCCAGCAGACATCCTCGCCTGCCCGCTGACCTGGGTTTTCAGCGCTTGGTGGGGGTAAGGGAGCCCTCCGCGCTCCACCATGATTGGCCGTTAGGAATGTCTGGTGGCAAGGCATAGCTGCCGGTGGGTCACCCTAGGCCAGGGTGCGCGGTGGGGGGGAGAGAAAGAAATTAATTCACCTCCGAAAAGACGTCCTAGCCATTTTTTCGGGGTTCAAAAGAAAATAAGACCCAGCCTTATATGAGAAACACGGTACATGATTTCCTTGTGAGTTAAACTAATGGGTTTACAGTATATACATATTCAGTTGTAAACATAGTTTATTGGTTTACAAACCATTCTGGCTAAATTGTATTAAGTCACAAGCAAGCCCCGTTTTAACAATGTAATCTGAAAAATCTCCATTTCATTGTCTCAGTTTTGTTCCTTTGATTCCAAAGAATGCTTGTTAAGAACTTAGAAGAGAAAGGGAGCTGTTGAAGGTTGAATATATAATGTTTCTAAGCCAGCTGACAGATTGGAAATTGTGAATCTGTTTCTAAATTATAATCTGTAATTTCCCAGTATCTGTTGGGTAATCTATAAAAAAAACATTAATAAATTGTGCTGGCAGTCTATTGAGATGAATAATTTCACTCTGATCAGAATACAAACATGCCGTGGCATTTTTTATTGCACTGTATCCCCATAAAATTGACTTCATTTTGACCCCAGCCCATTTGTGAGAAAAGGCTTAAGTTATTTTTAGCCGAACTGGTTTTAAAATAACTGGCAGCAATGTCAAGGCAATTAAAATCTGATGCATTTCATATCACTCTTCTGTGAGTGTCAGTCAGGTGACAAATAGGGGATGGGGTCAGCTTAGCACATACTGGACACTTCGGCCTAGTACAGGCAATGCTCCTTTCCTGTAGTTCTAGTTTTCCTTTTTTCTTCCAGGAGAAAACTGGATACAGCTGAACCTTGTTTGTAACCAGGAGTTCCCCACAACCTGGCCAAACAGCTTATCAGCTACTGAGAGAGTAACATTATAAATCTAGAAACTCTATTCTCTTAAAATCTAGGTTTTGAAAAAGAAATCTCTTGCATTTTTGCAAGGCAGTTTCTCTGTCCTGTCAACCAGCTGTCTTGCAAGCTTGTTTTGACTACACCCAAAGGCCGTTTTTCATGAGGCAACTGGGGCTTTCTGGTTTTTCTTTGAAGGTTTCACTTGTCATCCAAGAAGTTCTTTAGCTCTGACAACTGTTTTGATTACAGTTCAGGATTCTTTCAAGCTTCAAGTTTGTTTCCAACCAATATCATACTGGTTGGAAACATTACTAATACTTCTTGTACAAAGTTAGTGAAGACTGTTTTTTGTTTGCAAAAATTGGAAGGTCCTGGTCTTGTTTTCCCACACTTGGCATCTTTAGTTTGTACTACTTCATTAATTGTACTAAAACTGTGGTTTGATGAACCATGATTTACTAAATAAGCCACCGCTGGAAAGATTTATACAACATTTACACAACTACATTTATACAACTACAGCATTGTTTAGCACAATGACTGAATCCATGTTCATATGAAGGAGTTAAAGTGAAGGGGAAATGCAATTTGCTTAATCTTTGTCATTGAGAAGGAAGACTGCATTAAATGTAATTAACACACAATCCCCAGGAGGTTAACATGAAATATGGAAATGTTTTTCTATAGCAACCTTAACTAAATAAATGAGGTATGCTTAGTATGTTGTGGCAGCATCTGAAAATGGGCAATTGACCAAATCATCTAATTTCCAAAGACATTAAATTTAAGCCAAAACAGCATGTCATGGATAAGTTTAAATTTAATTCTTTCTGGTCAGTTGTACCATGGGAGCATCTGCAACCAATCTGCTTTACATAGTTAATCCTTCAGAAAAAAAGCTTGAATAAAGAACTGAAAAGCAATTCTCTTTGTTATCAAACTCATAAGGCCTGGCAGCACAAAATGTAGTCCCAAAGTTTGGCTGAGGTGGCCAAATAATATCTATTTGCTTGAAAAACTGGAAAAGGATGAAGACCCATGAAGCTTTGACAGTCTTCTCTCAGGAAACAGTAGATGGAAGAGTAGAACTCTATTTCATAAGTCGTATCCTCTGACCAGTATAATTGCATTGCTAATACTTTTTCAGTAAGATTAGGTAAAGGATATTCTAAGATCAAAGCCTCTAGGAAGCTCTATCCTTGGGATCATATCTACTTCTCTATGCTGGGGGCAGTGGAGGAGACATCTTCACAGTTTTTGCTATCTCTCATCTTTTCCTTTCTTCAGAGCAGCATAGTGAACAGCATATTTTTTTTTGCTGAATTTCCATTTTGGTAACCCTTCTTTGAACTTAATCCTTGTTCAATAATGTTGTTTTTTTTCAGATACTATTCCCAGAACTAAATACTACTTGAAGTAGGATCTGTGGATTAGAGTGTAACAGTTATTTTCGGGTGGTCTGGACTTCAGATTCCTATTAATGCATTCTAAACTACAATAGTATTTGCTTTTAATGGTTGCATTGCACTATTAGCTTGTGTTTAACTTGTGATTATTGTAACATCTGAATCTGTTTCATTACTGTCAAGTCAGGTTCTCCATGTCCTCTATTTGTCTCTTTCTACCCACACACACACACACACACACACCACGCTTTTTTATCTTCCCAGATGTAGGAGTTTAGGTCTCTTTCTATTCAATTTCATCTTGTGTGTTTCAGTTCATTGTTCAAGACTGACTGGATCTTTTCCAGTGAGCATTGTTATTGTCAGATTGTTATCAATTCCAGCGCAATGGAAGGCACATGAATCTAGGGTTATCATGCATTAATAGTTAGGGTAAATGTTTGTCAAGGGAAACATTATTGCATGAGAAATCTGTTGTGATGGCATGGTTAGAAGAATTGGAGCCAAATTAGGTGGGTTCTTTCTTTCACACTGGCTTTTTTGCATCTCCTTCTCTAATATTTGCTTTCTTCCACATATTGCAGGTGGTCTACTATACTGCTTATATAGTGATAGGATATAAATTCCCAATGAGTGTAGTGGAAAGAGGACAACCTTTTAGGGACCACAGGGTACATTAACTAAAGCAGAAGTATTTTGAGTAATTGCCCAGCATCAGTCTTGCTTCTGTATTTTAGATTTTCAGAAACTGTTTGTGACCAGCAGATGGCAGCCTAACTACACTCTTAATGCCTTTGCTGTTGTCAGCAAGGTCAAAGTTTCCCTTCTCTAAATCAGCAATGAATACCTTAAATGCTTATATTTCTCCAAAAAGAAATATTAGTGCTGGCTTTTTTTTTTATTCTCAAGTCTTTATCCAAATCGAT